TGTTGCGGCACGCAGGTTCAGCTGCCCTGCAGCATGTGGAACCTTAGTTCTGTGACCAGGGACCAAACCTGCATCCCCTGTATTGGAAGGTGGACTTGTAACCATTAGACCACAAGTGAAGTCCCAACAGGCTCTTTTAGCAACCAAGGTAAGACATGATGGTGACTTAGAAAAGGGTGGTCGCAGGAGAGACGAGGAAGTGGACAGACTAGGGAAGTACTAGAGAAAAGGAGTCTTGCTGGCTTGAGCAAAGTAATGGATGGTGATATTTCCTGCCTGGGGCTATGTGGGAGACAAATGACTCAAGGGTAAGGAAAGGAAGGGAATCACAAATCCTTTTTGACCATGTTAAGGTTGAGTGGTCTATAAGATATCCAGGAATATGTCAATTTTACCTGATTCTGAAGCTCAAGAAAAAGGGCATACATTTGAGAGTCACTGGCACAAAAACAGTATTTAAAATTATGAGACCATAATGAGGTCACCTAGGGAGAAAATGTAACCCCAAGGCACCTCAAAATTTGGAAGTGGTCCAGGAGAAGAGGCGTTAAAAAAAGAACCAAAGGAAGACAGAGAGAGAGAGAGAAAAGGAAGCCAAAATGGCAGGCAGAAACCCAGAAGAATGTTGTGTAAAGAAGTCCAAGAAAATAAAGTGCAACTGAATGAAGAATTAGCTGAGCCAATCCCAAAGATGAGGACGGAGGAGAACCACTGGGTCGGTCACCATGGAGGCAGTAAGAGCAGGGTCAGTGGAGTGCAGATGACTACAGCTGGGAAGAGGGGGCTGAAGGAAGGAGAGGTGAGGACTGGCAAGCATTCAAACAGACAAACACTTCAAAAACTTAAGCTGTGAAGAGGAGCACAGAAGAGGGGCAGCAGTTTAGAAGGGACATGCAGTCAAGAGAGGGCTTCTCCCTGACCCTGAGACGGGAGATACTAGAGTTTATCTATATAGAATCAGAAGGAAGGATTGATAATATAGAAAAGAGAGAGACTAACTAAACACATATATCTTTATTTAATTATTATAGATTTTTAAATATATTTAATTCATGTTAGACTGAATAGGAAGTTGTTTTCCAACATGAGCATAATCCCGGAAATCTCCAGGAAATAAAATTGAGTGGCAATAATAACAATATTAACGTAACTTGCATTGAGGGCCTGTAGCTTATCTTGCTGGGCCAGGCATCATTTCACATGCTATCCATATACATTGGCTTCTTTATTCCTACAAATAACAATGATTGTTCTCATGTTACACTTAATGAGGAAGCTGAGATACGCAGAGATTAAGTGACTTGTTTAGAGTTGTGTAAACAGTAAGGGATAGAACCAGGTGGTGGTGGTGCCAGAGGTTCAGTGGTTAATTTGTGTCCGACTCTTGCGACCCCATGGACTCCAGATTCCTCGGTCCATGGGATTCTCCAGGCAAGAAAACTGGAGTGGGTTGCCATTTCCTTCTCCAGATAGAACCAGGATTCCCACTCAAATAATCTACCTATGAAGCCTTACCAGGATGAACTGGTAAATGCTGTGCTGGTGTTTCCTTTGTTCATGATGCATTTTATGGTTCACCTGCTTTCAGTTACCTCTTCTTTCTCTCAAGGTATGTGGTTATAAAAAAGGGTTAAAAGGAATCATTTTTCAATTCTTTCTTTGGTTGAGGCAATCTTATGTGATAGTCAAACCAATTAGATGTGGGCGGCAATTCCATCTAAACTATTCCTTTCAAGGTATTTTATAAACACTTGCCACACATTAAAATACAATTTTCAACAGTGAGTAAATATTTTTCCATACAAGTATTTCTTCTATAAACACATTTGATACCCATTTATATACTACTTTAATGGCCAAATGGTATTCAATTGTTGAGACATACCACCATTTACTTAACCTTTCAAATATACATATGTCTATGCTTATGTTCTTACAGAAGTTCAAGTTCTTGGCAGAAAAAATAGAAAATACAGCTTAGCAAAAAGAATTCCACCCATCCTTTCATTTAATAGATATTACTGAGTGTCCATTTTACACCATGCAGCCATTATAAATCATGCTTTCTAATGCTGTTTAAAAGCATGAGGAAAATGAAGAGGGAAAACTGCAGGATACAAAACTGTATGGAAAGCATGTGGAAAAATAAGTAAAAAACAAATAAATCACACATCCACATACCACATGAGAGAGAGGGAGAAATGTAAGCAGTAGTTATTATTTCTGGATGGTGAGATATTAAGGATAATTTTTATTTTCTTCTGCTTGCCTTTCCCCCTTATTTTCTATAATGAACATACATTACTTTAACACTCAGAAAAAATGTTAGTTCAAAAATTAAATATTTCTACATATTGCACTGAGAGCACATGCATTATCAGAGATTTAACTTGCAGCCAAAATGGAATCCATTAAGAGAGCAAGGCGTAGAGGATAGGAGGACATTTTTATTATTTCAATTACTTAATTATAATGCTCCCAATCATTCCACTGCCTGGAACACCATTCAGAGTGTGCATATTTCTGTGTGTGTGCACGTGCACACGCATACATGCGTGTGTGTTTTGTGTGGCAGTACAGAATCATCCAAGATAATTAGTATATACAACTCGATGAACTTGAGTTTGAGTAAACTCCGGGAGTTGGTGATGGACAGGGAGGCCTGGTGTGCTGCGATTCATGGGGTCGCAAAGAGTCGGACACGACTGAGCGACTGAACTGACTGACTGATTTAACAAATGATAGACAGCTAACATGGAGCTTCACTTCTTGCCACTAGGTCTACTGGGCAGAGAAAGAAACAGAGAAGAAGATGCAGGAGACATTTCCAAGGGAAAAAAGTCCCCGAAACTATAGGCAAAAATTTATTCCCATATCCCTTGGTTCAGTCTATCCCTTTAAGATGCACTTTTTTCTTTCTTTCCTTTTAAAAAATATTTACTTCTTTGGCTGTGCTGAGTCCTAGTTTCTGCATGCAGGATCTTTTCTGGCCACCTGTGAACTCTTAGTTGCAGCATATGAGATCTAATTCCCTGGCCAGGGATTGAACATGGGCCTCCTGCACTGGGAATGTGGAATCTTAGCCACTGGACCAACAGGGAAGTCCCTAAAATGCATTTTTTTTCTTTTAAACTTCTTATTCTGAAAATTTGCAAATATACTAAAATATGTACATCTGAATTCTCAAAAATAGGTACAATAAGCCCCATGTTTCCATCACTCATCTTAAGTAATTATCAACATTTTTCAGAATTTTCTTTCTACTTGCTTATCTTATGTCCACTTAAAAAAGATGTACAACTTGAGAGTTGTGAGGTAAGTTTTATTTGGGGCACAATGAGGACTGCAGCCCGGGAGGCAGCATCTCAGATAGGTCTGAGAGACTGCTCCAAAGCAGCAGTGGGGGAAAGTCAATATATAAGGTTTTGGTGAAGGGGGAGTTCAATACCATGAAGCACTCATTTTACAAAAGGTTTCTTGCTAGTCATGAGGATCTGATGTCACCATGAAGGGATTTAGTGCTTCTCGAGATATGAGGAGATGCAAGGATTGAGTCATAAAATCTGTTCCTAAAAACATCCAACTATCTAAAGACCTGTCCCACCAGATTCCCTGGAGCACAGAGTGCCTCACTTCACCCTGAACTCCCTCAGGGATTGTTGAAGGTCAACAGCTAGAGCAGCATGGGGTTCAATCTCCATAGAGGCAGATGGCAAATGCCTTTGTTGTTCAGTCACTGGCAATGCTCTTGGTAAGTGCCAATTTGTAGTTGACACTTACATTAGTAGAAAACAATAATACTTATGAATAGGAAAACTAAGCTTGTAGAAATATTTTTAAACACAAATCAAAAAAGAAATAGTTAAAAACCTCACTGTGCAGACTTGAAAAGCTTTCCAATGCCTGCTGATGCAATTACTACCTTTTCCATCCAGTTTGCCCTTCCTCCCCAATAATTATGTGAGTGTATTATCACACGTGGGAAATGGAAGAACTAAAAATAAAGCAAGCAGTAAATCAGTATCTGGGAAGCCACAGGACGTAACTGGGCTTCCCCAGTGGCTCAGTGGTTAAGAACCCACCAGCGAATGCAGAAGACTCAGGTTCTATCCCTGGATCAGGAAGATCCCTTGGGGGAGGAAATGGCAACCCACTCCAGTATGCCTGCCTGGGAAATCCCATGGACAGAATAGCCTGGCAGGCAAGAGTCAACACGACTTGGCAACTAAACAACAGCAACAACAACAACAACAACAACAAGAGGACAGAACTGCAACAGGAGGGCAAGGCGCAGGGCACAACTTTTGAAAGACGGACACAGCCCAAGGACATCAAATGGGACCAAGACGGCAGACAAGACTACACCCTGATCCTCAATCAGCAAGTGAAATGACACACCCAGAGGCGCCATGACAATTCTAAGGCACTATCAAAAGACCAAGCAGTGGGCGGTGGCCCAATTCCTGGAAATCTCCACCCCTTCTCCAAAACAGACAGAATAACCCTCCCACTCATTAGCATATGAAATTACCCAGCCTATGGAAACTAACCATGCCACATTTCGAGGCGCCTGCACTCACCCTCTGCGATGGCCCACACTCTGTCTGTGGAGTGGGCTTCTCTCTGAATCTGAATAAATCCATTTCTTACTTATCTCTTTGTCTCTCACTGAATTCTTTCTGAGATGAGACATCAAGAACCTGAGCTTCATTAGGTCCTGAAACCAGGTACTGTGGGTTTTGTCTGGGTTCAAATCCCAGCCACGTGGGTTCGAGTCCCAAACAGGATTCTGGCTGGGTTCGAGTTCCAGCACATGGGTTCAAGTCCCAAGCTGAGATAAATGGTTTCAGAACTGGAGGATTAGCAAGTTCTCACCCGGGGCAAATGTGGCCAAGGAGATGGCCTGGGGACAAGCCAGACAAGGCTGGGCAGCCCTGTCTCCTGAAGGCCACACACAGGGCTAAAGGTGCACTATCAAACTGTCACTGGGTTGTACCTACCCAGACTGTTGTCACTGCTTGTGGGCCAGGAGGCAATTCTGTCCCTCAGTTTCTTCTTTTTCCAGGAGTTGTCTGACTTCTCAGAAAGGCCTATTTCCTCTTTTCTGATTTCTCTGATGAGCTGCATACGGCACCGTGTAAAATCCTGAAAGCAAATCTTCCCATTTTCATCAGCACCCAGTTGGTTCATGATCTCTGCCACAGACTCTTCCATATTCAATTGGCGACAGACCATCAACAAGTCATTTCTACAGAAAGGAGTTGAACAGAACAGCTTGTTAGGAGAGACATTTGAGCTAGAGAAAATAGTTAATGACAAAAAAAAAAAAGAGTATTTCTTGAACATATCCACACGTAGGAAACCTATGTCCACCTTTCTCATTGCTTCTGGGAAAGTATGCAAAAAGATCTGTTTCACTTGGGTTATTCTAAACTAGAACTCTATTATTATTTGGAAGAGGGAGGTAACTTGAAATCTCTGTTCTCTTCTTTCTTCCCAGTGTCCATATACTTTCCTCCTTGTCTTTCTTTTGAAATTGACAAAGCACCTTAGGTAGCACTAATCTCACTATAATATAAAGTTTCAGAACACAGGAAAGATACTGTTGCCACTCTTGTCAGAGTTGAAAATCTAGACAACTTGTAAAAGGAACACCAAAGACTTTAATGAGCTTGATTTTCAGTTTTCTAGACCAATCAGCTAATTTTAGTACTTTAAAATGTTATTTAATCTCGACTTTCATGACTCAGTTCAGTTCAGTCGCTTAGTCATGTCTGACTCTTTGCGACTCCATGAACTGCAGCACGCCAGGCCTCCCTGTCCGTCACCAACTCCTGGAGTTTACTCACACTCATGTCCATTGAGTCGGTGATGCCATCCAACCATCTCATCCTCTATCGTCCCCTTCTCTTCCTGCCCAATCTTTTGGGGCAAGATTCGTCCCCAATCTTTTCCAGCATCAGGGTCTTTTCCAGTGAGTCAGTTCTTCACATCAGGTGGCCAAAGTATTGGAGTTTCAGCTTCAGCATCAGTCCTTCCAATGAACATTCAGGACTGATCACCTTTAGGATGGACTGGTTGGATCTCCTTGCAGCCCAAGGGACTCTAATGACTCAGTGCTCCCCATCTTTGTTTTTTTCTGATTTCCCTTGGGTATTTTCTACCTTCCCTTCAGCAATTAGCAAACCTTAAGCCTTAAAGCAGGGAGCAAACTCCGAAATGTCTTCCAAGTCTGGGACATAATATAAATGGGTAAAGTGGGGGTGAAGGAGAGGGAAGCCTGGTGTTCTGCAGTCCATGGGGTTGCAAAGAGTCAGATATGACTGAGTAACTGAACAACAAAAGTGGGGGGGATCTAAGACAAGAGGAATCTGTGTCTGGACTAGGAAAGTACATCCAGCATATAGGTTTTCAAGTTGAAGAAAAAGAAAAGAAAGGAAAAGAATACAAAAGGAACAAGAATAGCACTATGTTGGCCAATAACATTTATCTGGAGGAAATCATTTGACTCTGGACATAAAAGTCTTGCTCTTTTCTTTCCTTCTAAACTTTTTGGGAAAATAAATTTGTTCAGAGTGCTCCAACCCTACCTAAGATTCAATAAAAGTCAAAGGATTATGAATCTAAGAGCTGGAAGAGATATTACGAACTAAGCTATGGTCACAAGCAAAGCTAATTAGTGCTCCTGTTTCAAAATACCACCAAATTCAGTCATCTGGAGACCTGGAGACCATGACCAATTTGATATTTATCAATGTAGGAGATGAAAGAGATGCAGCTTCCATCCTTGGGTCAGAAAGATCCCCCGAAGAAGGAAATGGCAACCCACTTCAGTATTCTTGAAGAATCCGGAAGAATCCCACGGAGAGAGGAGCCTGGCAGGCTACAGTCTGGGGCATCGCCCAGAGTCAGACACGACTGAAGTGAATAAGCACAAAACGTAACCATGAAAAGACGAACTCTTCTCTTCACAAGTTCCTTCTGGTCATTGCTAGTATGATTCCCCAAGTTCCTAGGTGTGCAGAACTGTAGAAATTTTTAATATCTTCTCGATTCCTCCATTTTAACCCTAATCTCCTTGTACTCGGAGAAGGCAATGGCACCCCACTCCAGTTCTCTTGCCTGGAGAACCCCAGGGACGGGGGAGCCTGGTGGGCTGCAGTCCCTGGGGTCGCTGAGTCCGACATGACTGAGCGACTTCACTTTCACTGTTCACTTTCATGTATTGGAGAATGAAATGGGAACCCACTCCAGTGTTCTTGCCTGGAGAATCCCAGGGACGGGGGAGCCTGGTGGGCTGCCGTCTATGGGGTCGCACAGAGTCGGACACGACTGAAGAGACTTAGCAGCAGCAGCAGCTCCTCATACTGGTTCTGTGTGTCTAACTTATCATTAAATTTGTTCTGTCCCTGAAATGCTTTTTATCTGTACTCTCTACTATGCTTTCTGACACATATAACACTCTCCAAGACCTTCTCAGTTTATACCAGGACTATTAATCAGCTTCTTTAGCTGATCACATTGCTCCTATATGCTATCCCATTTTCATGTTTCATAAGGAAATTTGACACACAACTACAAGTTTTATTTTGTTTGTATGTCTGAGTATACACACACACACACACACACACTCACATACACATTTGGAAGGAAGGACAGCAGATTAAATTATTAGTCCTAAATTTTCATTTTCTGGTATAACTATTACACATCCATACCCTTGCCTTGGTCTTGGGGTTAGGGACACTCATGGTTGATGTGTTCCTCCCCATCCTTTTAATTTCAGACTTGACATCCATACGAGCCTCTGAGATGCATGTGTTTATCCAGTTAATCCCCAGTTGGGCTTGTCCTCTTTTACTTCTGCCATCATTAAGACAAGAACAAACCATAGCAGGCATTAACCCTCTAGCCTGGGCCCCAAAATAAGCCACCTCAGCTGATCTGCAGGCCCATAGCATCAGAATCACTTTCAGCTGACCCAAAGATATGTGATCAAGAATAAATTTTATTGTTTATGCCAGTGAGACTTTGTGACAGTTCCCCAGCAAGAGCTAACTGAATACACTGGAGTAAGTTTTTAATATATTCATATGTTTACTATTTTTTGCCCTGCCCTGAATACAACATGTCTGATACTCGGCTGGATTCATCCAAGACAGGAATAATTGTGATTGGTAAAGCAGGAATGCAAACAAAAAGAAAGGGTCAATGTTTAGGTTCTACATTCTAAAATAAGAATTTCTTTATTATGCTTTTAGAGGAAAATCTTAAAGATTAGGCTTGGTAGGAGATAAAGAAGTTTTCTAAATTTCAGAGGTTAACATAAAAAGATGTTAATACTGTTTTCTGAACAGTAGGAATACGGTGTTTTCATTTTCTCCTATCTGTATTTGTAACTTTCCAGAACTTACTATGTAGCTTTTTCTGGGAGTTCAGATGGTAAAGAATCTGCCTGCAATGCAGGAGACCCAGGTTCAATTCATGGGTTGGGAAGATCCTCTGGAGTAGGAAATGGCACCCCACTCCAGTATTCTTGCCTGGAGAATCCCATGGACAGAGGAGCCTGGTGGGCTAAGTCCATGGGGTCACAGAGTCGGGCACGACTGAGCGACTGAGCACACATGGAACATACTACACTATGCTCATAAATTGCTATGTCATTTTTTAGGATTTAAAAGTGAGGATAATAATAGCATCTAGCTCTTAGGATTGTTTTGAGGATAAATGAGATAATGCATGTAAACCAGTTAACTCCTGGCACAATAAATACTAGATACCACTATGATTATTTTAAAATTATTGATCATAAATCTTTATCAATGCCCCAGTTTCACAATTAAGTCTCTAGTAATTAAGCACAAACTGTTCAGGGGAAAAACAATAGTTATTGAACTGAAGTGACTCCCTCACTAAGTGGTGTGATCTGTCTGCAGAGGCTAACTTCCTCCCTGCCTGTGGCCCACTTACACTTGGGCATCCTGGTGAGAAACCCAAGTCTGGCCAAGCTTGAGAAGCCCCATTCCACCAAAAGTACCTCCAAAAGGGATCTGTGCTCTAGAAATGTCAACTCAGAGAAGAATGTGTAATACTGCATTTTAATTTAAAAAGGGTACAGTTAGAACTGGACATGGAAGAACAGACTGGTTCCAAATAGGAAAAGGAGTATGTCAAGGCTGTATATTGTCACCCTGCTTATTTAACTTATATGCAGAGTACATCATGAGAAACGCTGGGCTGGAAGAAGCACAAGCTAGAATCAAGATTGCCGGGAGAAATATCAATAACCTCAGATATGCAGATGACACCACCCTTATGGCAGAAAGTGAAGAGGAACCAAAAAGCCTCTTGATGAAAGTGAAAGAGAAGAGTGAAAAAGTTGGCTTAAAGCTCAACATTCAGAAAACTAAGATCATGGCATCTGGTCCCATCACCTCATGGGAAATAGATGGGGAGACAGTGGAAACAGTGACAGAATTTATTTTTTTTGGCTCCAAAATCACTGCAGATGGTGACTGCAGCCATGAAATTAAAAGACACTTACTCCTTGGAAGGAAAGTTATGACCAACCTAGATAGCATATTAAAAAGCAGAGACATTACTTTGCCAACAAAGGTCCGTCTGGTCAAGGCTATGGTTGTTCCAGTGGTCATGTATGGATGTGAGAGTTGGACTGTGAAGAAAGCTGAGTGCTGAAAAATTAATGCTTTTGAACTGTGGTGTTGGAGAAGACTCTTGAGAGTCCCTTGGACTGCAAGGAGATCCAACCAGTCCATCCTGGAGATCAGTCCTGGGTGTTCATTGGAAAGACAGCTAACAAATCTATAGGGGGAAATGCTATTGCTTTCATTTTACAGGTGATATGAAGGTGGAGAATCCCGGAGCTAAAGTGTGGCAGAGCCAGGAACCCAAATCAAACCAAAGCTCTTGCCCTTTTAATTCTATCAAACATTGCCCTGGATGTCAGTGATACTTAAACTTTAGTCTTTGAACACAAACAAGGACAGCAATGATACAAGCAGCTCAATAATCAAGTTGTTAATAGTACTTTTGTCTTAAACCAGAAAGACTACATTACATCCATGTATGCATTACCTGTCTATGTTAAATATTGATGAGAATAATGTTATACTTTGTTATCAACATGAGAAAACAGTTACAAGAGGAAAAAAACAGTAAAGAGTGTTCCCTGGTCGCTCAGTGGTTAGGACTTGGCGCTTTCACCAGGGAACTAAGGTCCTGCAGGCC